TCAGGCTGTCAGGTGCTGTCAGGTGATCTGTCGGGCTGTCGGGCAGCTGTCAGGCACTGTCAGGTGCCTCTGTCAGACCAGCTGTCGGGTGCTGTCAGTGCTGTCGGGTGCTGTCGGGTGCGTGTCTGACATCAGAGGGGATCTGTAGCTGTCGGGTGCTGTCGGAGCTGTCGGGTGTTGCTGTCAGACGCTGTCGGAGCTGTCGACTATCTAGATAGTTGCAAAAAGTCTGTGGTGCAAAACCCGCCCAAAACTACCAAAATCGCTGTCACGGCCAGCTCGGCACTATCTACTCAAAAAAAGTGACGTAGAGCACCCACTTTTTAAGCGTTCGCCGCATACACAAGGTCCGCCTGCGTGCGGCGCCAGCTTCTCAGGGCCGTAGCGCGAAAAACGACGGAGGAGATGCATCCTAGCTGTCGCCGCCGAAGGCGACTCGACGCCGCTGAGATCGGAGATCAAGCTCTGACAGGTCACACGTCGCTCCTTTGACGCCGACGTGACTCACCCGTGCAGAGCGCATCAGGACACGGTCTCGACGCGCTCGGTACGACGCCTGCGACCCGTCTCGGGTCAGGTGGCACGACGCTCATCGCGCCTGCCAGCGCTGCCGTGCAGGTTGCCACGACAAGGTTGAGCACGCTTCTATACGCTCGCCCAGCCTTCCTTTCCATCCCATTAGGCAGCCTGGGAACGGTGGCGGTCAGAGGCAAAGCCTGCGAGGGGTGGTGGAACCACATGTCACGGCCACCGCCGGCTCGACGCGACGATAGCCTCCGGAGGCTGACTTTGAGGCACCATCATCGGACGATGTCGACGAGTTGGGTCGCTCTCGCGGTATCCAGGTAGCCCCCCATACTAGTATCACCAGCCATGGCCTCAGGGAGCGCGGGCGAGGGCGCTGGGAGCAACACGGACAAAAAAACATCAAAAGTGGTCATTGTGACACCACCCGTATTTGCAACTAGTCTGTCAGAGCTGTCAGGCTGCTGCTGCTGTCAGACGTTGGGCTGTTGCTGTCAGGTGCTGTCAGGTGGTGCTGTCGGGGTGCTGTCAGGCTCTGACACACACCAGCCACACTTATGACATTATCAAGAGGAGACCAGCAGGACTCTGCTGCACATACTCTAGTCTCTACTCTGCCTCCGGTCCCACCATCTTCTTCATGGTGGACGTCACCATCTTCTTGTCTGCCGCACTGAGAGAATAGCAGAGAGGCAGGGGGGAGTGCTTCTTCAGGTACACCTTGCTGATGATCTGGTAGTTGCTGGTCCAGCGGAAGGCCTCCCCATCGTTGTCGCTCGTCAGCTTGTAGTACTTGCACGCTCTGTTCTGGTAGCGCGGGCCGTCTGGGGGGGTCCCGTCACCCTCCACCTCACGGTACCACCGGAGGATAAAGAGGCCCTTGGGGTCGTTGATGAAGACCCCGTTGCTGCGCTGACTCATCGAGAGCTGGCGCAGGTACTCTGCGCTCGAGCTGCCAGTGGCGCGGCGCGCGTCTACCGTGCCGTCGGCGACGGCCACCTGCTCGATGTTGCCAATGGCAAAGACCTTGGAGCAATCCTCCATGGTGAAGAGCACCGCAACTGCGGAGAGAAAGAGAAGAGGGAGAGATGAGAATGCACGTCTTATGTGTGTGTGTGACAGGCGGCAAGGGCGTGGTCACCGTCATCATCATCCATGTAGAAGTCGAGCTCCTCATCCACATCCTCGCCTCGCTGCTGATGGGACTTGATGAGCCGCTTGACGTGGAAGCGGAGCTTGCGATCCTTTGACTCCTCCTGGATGGAGACGTTGAAATCTGCCAGCAGCTTACGGATCTCCTCAAAAAACTCTGCGCTGCTGCCCTCCTCGCCGCCGGTTGGAGGCGCCACGTTGGCCCCCGTCCGCATCAGCTGGTTCAGCACGGCCTCGGCATCTGCAGCATCCTGTGCGCCCATGGCGGTCAGCTCGGCCGGCTCAGCATCGGGTGTGCCGTTTGGATCATCCTTCTTCTCTCCCGGCTCCTCCAGCAACGCGCCACCCTGGACATAGGTGTCAGCCAGAGGAAAGTGCAAGCACGGCTGCTTGAAGAAGCCGGTCTGTGCACAGAGGTTGGCGCGGACTCCACAGAATCGAAGGCGCGGACCACATACACATGTCTTTGCATGTAATAGTTTTGCTATACCCTCATGGGACACAAGAAAGAGGCTGCACGGCCTGAGACGGTCTGTGCTGCTGTCGGGCTGGTCGGGCTGTCGGGCTGTCAGCGCTGCTGTCAGGCCGCTGTGTGCTGTCGGGCTGTCGGGCAGCTGTCAGGCTGTCACGTTAGGGCCTGACAGCGACGGGACGCCTCTGATGTCAGGCTCTGCTGTCAGGCTGTCAGAGACGTGCTGTCAGACTGTCGGAGAAAGTGCTGTCAGCGCTGTCAGGCTGTCGGGCACTGTCAGGCGCTGTCCGGGGTTTGCTGTCAGGCTGTCAGACCAGGGCTCAGCCGCAGCGCTGTTTTATATGTGATATGTGTACACGTACAACCTTTAGCTTCCTGGGAGAAACAGCCCATAACTCGTGTATTTGTATCACTCGCGCGGCCGGCGGACGAATGTATCGGTACGTATGCTGTCGGGGCTGGCAGAGGGAGCGCCTCTCCGTCTGGGGTCGGCTATGATAATTGTGCGATGGCCGATGGCCCACACGCTAGAACCGGGCTAACCAGGAGGCCAACACTCGACCCTCTCACACATCTCAAGGAGGTCGAGCTACTCGCCGTCTCCGCAGCAGTGGCGAGTCCGCATGGGCTGGCCTCGCGCTCCTTGTCTCCTGGCTTCAAACCCGCTGGCGCTTCCGCGACCCGCCAGCCTCGATGTTGGCCGCGCCGTCGAGCTCAGCCGGCGGCCTGGAGCTGCTCGCCGCCGCGGCCGACTGCAGCGGCACTGCGGAGAGCTGCCCCGACGGCGTGTCCACGTCGAGCACGAGCGGCTCGCGGCACATCGGGCAGGATGGAGTGCGGGCGATCCAGTTATCCTCACATCCTGTTATTCTACTAATCGAAAGAAAGAAGATTGGTTTTTTTCTCGTTGTCTGGTGGCTTGGAGCCTGACGGTGAAGCCTCACTGAGAAGGCGCGTGGTAGCTTGTTCGGGGGTTCCGACCCTTCGACTGTGAAACCGCCTCTCGCGCTGTGGGCGCGTTTCTTCTCCTCTCGGCTAGTCACTCGCGCTGGTTCACTCCCGGGAAAGGATCCCTAGCCAAGAAAAAGGAGAGGATCTCGTGAATCGTAGCCTGTCTAGTCTCAAAGAAAGAAAGAAAACAGACAACCCAATGGAGGGATGGGAGGACGGCACGCCACCACCACACGGGGAGTGTGTGTGGTGCTAGCCATCGCCTAAAGCGTAAAGGCCCTACGCGCGGCGTGATCTCTCTAACTCTATGTGTATGTAGTTCCTTTCCTGCCACCGGTCATGTGCCCATGTGCAGGAGTACGGTAGGGCGAGTGAGTTCCGTGCGGTGCTCAGACGAGGTCCACGGGCGGCTTTTCCCGTGGGGCCTTCTTCCGCCGCGCCTCCGCAAAGCGCCGCGCCGAGGCCTCGCTCGTCGCGGGCCGCGACGATTGCGATGCTTTGGTTGGGGGTTCACCGCCTGAGCGGTTCTTGGCGAGCGCGAGCGAGCGCAGGATCCGTCTTGAATCCGTTGGCCCAGGCGCGGAGGTGATCAAAGGCGGTTTCGCCGATCACAAAGGGGACTACTTAGCACGAGTGACATCAGCGCGGCCCCCAGCAGAGAGACGAGCCCGAGGAGGAAGAGGGCTGCCGATGGGGTAGGGCAGGGAAGGGCTCAGGCTCGGTGCGCATGTGAGTGCAGGAGGGCGGCCGGCCGAAGGAGACGTGGCGAGGGGGGAAAGACGGGGTGGGGAGGGTGTAGGCGAGTGAGAGCACGGTAGGATTGGAATTCAAAGGCGCGCCGGACGGAGCGATGCAAAAGAAGGCGATGCTCGTCTGGGTCTTGAAGAGCACAAGGCGGCCGCTTGTGCTCTGGGCGCGCAGGACCGTGTACGAAAAGTCGCTCAGCTTCCCCGGGTGGCCGCTCTTCAGCAGATTGGTCTGCTGCTGAGGCTCGTGGAGCCGGATCGTCGAAGAGCCGTCTTCTGCGCCCAAGTAGTACGAGGTCTGGAGGCGGAGCCAGTTGACATGGTGCTCATTGTTGCCGCCATAACACTCTGCAAACATCGCAAAGGGCGCATTCTCCGCCCACACCTTCGGTCCCCGCCCCGATGGAGCAGGAACTCGGCGATGGCGGCGGAGAAGACCGCGCCGCCGTGCAGGTCCATCCCGAAGTCGCCCTTCGTCGCGCAGCACCTTGGCAGGACCGGCATCATATTGAGCATCGCGTCAAGGAAGGGGAAGGTGAACCACCGCAGGTAGTCGGTCTTCTCATCGATCAGGCTGCCAGGCCGGCGCGTCCACGGAAACACCATCTACGGCGGCGGTGGCCAGGTGGGCCGGCGGCGATGGTAGCGGCGGGGCTGCCAGGGCGTCGGTGGCACTAACCTGCGCGACGGGGTCTTCATGATGAAGCTGAAGCTCAGCGGGATATTCAGGTCAAACCAGCGCTCGAAAGCTATGTTCGCGATCTTGGTCGGTGCGAAAGCGTACACGCTCACGGTCTCGCGGTCGTCTTGGAGCAGGGCGTCCTTAACCAGCCAGCGCTTTTGCCACTCCCAAGCGCCTGCCCGCGCAAGCAACGGGTGTGAGAGCAAGAAGAGGGCGCTGTGGGCGCAAAAGCGGACGAACAGAAAATCATCCAGCTCCGTGACAACACCGGCTTGCGTTGCCCTTGCTCTTTTTTTGATTTTGCAGGACAGCTCCCGTGTGCAAGGACTTGCCTCTCCGCCGCCGCCTCCCCGGCTCCGGGCTCCGCCGCGCGCCGCCGCCGCGCGCCGGCCGCCGCCGCCCTCGCTCTTCCTTCCGCCGCCCTCCATGAGACATGTCAAAAGAAAAACACTTGCGTTGACATGCACGGTGCTCGGTGGTACATATCTTTTCAAGTCAACTCCCCATCCCCGTGGCTCCCCACACTCCACAGCTCTCGACACTCGCTCGCGTGTCTAGCTGCGGGCAAGGCTGCGTGCGGGCAACCACCCCTCGCATGACGATCGGCCGTCGATCCCGAGGTACGAGGGTCGTCGGTTGAGCATGCTAGGGAGCCTGGCGATGGACGCCACCGCGACCCCTCGCCGTCTAGTGTCCTTCGCGACCAGCTAGGCCGTTCCTGCCCCCCTAGTTTGCCGGCAGGGTGCCGGGCGGCGCCTTCTCGGTGTAACGGCCGTCGATGCTTCCCGCCGACGGCGAGGCCGCGAGCGTCTTGCGCCGCGTGACGACCTCGGGCTCCTCGAGGCTCATCATCACCAGCCAGACCTGTTGATGGATCATGAGCGTCCGCTGTTAATATTCACTGCTCGTTCGCTCGGCGGCGCGGAGTCAGAAAGAGGTGTCTGGCGCACCATCGTGGCGCCGAGCGAGCCGGCGCATGGTCCGACCCACCAGACCCAGTGGTCGTCCCACGTGTTAGAGACGACGGCAGGCCTGTCCACGGCGCGCCGTGTGAAGAGGGACGCGCTGTTCATGTGTACACCGGTTAGGGGGGGGGGGGGGGTGACACGGCCCGCGCCCGAAGGAGCGCGTCGGATTGATCGAGCAGCCCGTCACCGGGATGCAGACCTATAGTCGGCGGGGGCGCGCGTGGTTAGGGTCCGATCTCTTGGCCTACCATTCCTGCTTCCTTGCTGCTACTGGCGCGCGCACCACGTGTGCAATGAAGACGGCGAGGCCTATTGAGAGAGCCGCGGGAGCGAGACACGTGAAAGTGGACTGGAGAAGCCTTGTGTGAGAGAGGCCGGCCGCTGCTCGGTGTGCCAATGGGCAGCGGCGCGATGGAGAGCTTGTTCCCGAGGATGGAGGACTCGCCTAGTCGTGCAGCCTTCGTCTCCTGACTCCTCTGTGGATGCCGTTGGGGCACAGGGCTGGGGGGAGATGGCTCGCCGTCGGTGCAGAGCGACTGCCCGTTGACCGCCGTCTCGAGGACGGTGTACATGAGGAGAAAGGTGCCTAGTGAAACAATGCCGGCATGGCTAATTCACCAACTGTCTCAGGACCGCGTGCATGAGGGACGAGAGTGCCCACAAACTCAAAGGCGACCGCGTTGTGGTGGTTGACCGACGCGTTCTGCAGCCCGTTCGAGCCGAGGCTGCCCGACCGGTCGAGGTCCTCTCCTCCCGCGTCGCCGTGCGTCGCGCCTTTGAGTATCGCTGCGCCGGCGATGGAGCCGAGCATTTGCGCGATGAAGTAGGCCGCGCCGCGGATGGGGTGGCACTTGCCGGAGACCGTCAGCCCGAGAGTGACCGCCGCGTTGACGTGACCGCCAGAGGTGTGGGCAGTCGCGTACACCAGCACGGTGATGGCGAGCCCGAACTGGAGCGCGATGACGGTGACCGATGCCGGGTCCCAGTCGCCGTCGCTAAAATGCGCGTTCGAAGCAGCGGCCCCGCAGCCAAAGAAGACGAATAGCGTCATAGCGACAAACTCGGAGAGGGTGCCGCGGAGGAGATCACGCCGACCAGGCATCGGCTCTCGGGGCGTGGCATCGAAAGCGACGATCGGCATGAATTGCGGTGCTAAAAGAGTGATTTCGTCGCGATTGCAGGATATCTAGATACCAGATAAATAAATAAAAACCAACATATCTACTGTGAGATGGGTAAAAAGGAACAGGTCCCCGCCCTTGCGATCTTTGTGCAGGGTTCTTTGTGGGTGTGGTCGGCGACTAGCCGGGGTCGTCCTCCCGAGATGGGGGACTAGCACTAGCCGTCTTCCACATGGTCCCTCGGGTCCCTGCTGCTCCTAATCTCTTCGTACATCCTCCTGCTGATCTCCGCAAAGTCCTACTCCCTCCCTCGTCTCGCCCTGCGCGTCTGCTCCGCCTCACCGTCTTCTGCCCTGCGCCGTCTGGCGACGGGTCCTCCATAGTCGGTCGAGGTCGCCGCCCTCCTCGTGCCTCTTCCCAACGTTCCCTCGGCGGCCGATGCCGTCTGCTCCGGCTCCCCAGTCCCCGGGTCTGCCCTGCTCTCGTCTGCGCTAGTTTCTGCTTCGTCCTCACCGGCGTCTCTCCTCTTCCTTCTCCCCTTCTTGTATGCTTTGTACATCGCGTCGATTCCTTTTCGCGTGAGCACCAGCCTGAAGCCCGCCCAGCATCTGAACCGCTCCCTAAGTCGAAGGAGCATCATCAGTCTCACCCACTTCGCTCTCTGCCCACCGTCTCCGCTCCCTCCCGCTTGAGCCGCCGTCGCGGCCCTCGTTCGTCCCACTGGCTGTTGGCCCGTCCCTGCGTTGCCTGCGTTATCCCTCCTCTGCGACTCCCTCAAGGCCGGCCGAGCCTCTTTCCACCCAGTGAAGAGCTTCCTCAGCCACTCGAGGGTGGCAGAGGCGCCGTCCGTGACGCGATTTTTTTATTTTGCTCAAGCACGTTCGAGCACGTTCGGCTTCCTCCGGACCTCTCGGTCCATGGAATTTCCGACGCCACAAACATACGCCATCGTCGGTCGGCGCCATCCGCGTTGTCGTATTCGTCGTCGTCGAACCCCGCACATTGCTGCTGAAAACTCTCTCTCTCTTGCTGCTGCCGGCTCCCGCGTGCCCGGCGAGGTAACCGACAAAGCGTGGGTCGGTCTGAAGGAGTACCGCTCTGTCCGCAGCAAAAGAATCTTGGGGCGTGACAAATTCTTTTTGTTCGGCCGCGTCGCGGATACCCACAGTGCGCCCCAGCCCCCTCCCCCCCGGGCACACTGCCACACACCGCACCACAGACCACTCCGAAGCTCCCAATTTTTTTTCAAGCGGATCCCTGGAAGTACTCTCTCAGCCTGCTCCATTAATGTGGCCGAGCGCGCTTTGTCCGCGGCCGGACCGAGCCCCGCCTGCTCTCCGCGGGCGGCCGCCTCACCAGGCAGTGGATCTGGCAGCCCGGGTGCTCCGCGTCGGCCGGGAGGCTCGCCGCCTCAAAGTGGTCTGCGGCCATCTCGTAGAAGCGACCGCCCATGCTGTGGACGCCGGGCGCGGCGCCGTTGCCGTGCGCCATGAGCACGAGGGTCCCCTCGCAGGAGAGGGCGACGAGGGTCTCCACCTACGGGGACGTGTCGCGGACGTGTCGAGGACGTGCCGTCGGACGCGTGTCGCCGCGACGCGCGCGTCCGCACCAGTGCGCTCCACACGCGCTCCTCCCTGCCGTACACAACGTCCACAGCGAGGAGCACGTCCGGCGGCCGGCCCAGCCCCAGCTTCTCGAGCGGGGAGGCGTCCTCACCCCACTTGAGCCGCCTCACCCGCACCGGCACCGGCTCCGCCGCCGCGCCCGCGCCGCCCGCGCCCGCGCCCGCGCCGCCCGCGCCCGCGCCCGCGGCGGTCGCCGCGTTGTCCTTTGCCGCGTTTGCCTCGAGGAGGGAGAGCACGTCCTCGTCCGCGTCAGTCGCCACCGTGCGCATCCCCAGCCGACCCGCGACGATCGCCGGCAGCCCGAGCCCTGCGCCAAGCTCGACGGCGGAACGACCCGCCCATCCGACCGGCACCGGCCCAACGCCTACAGGAGGCCGCCCTGAAGGCTCCTGGACGGCTCCCGCCCACCCGCCCACGCGGCCAGCCTCGCCGCCGGCGCCGCCCCATCTGCCAAGCAGCCGAGCGCCGAGCGGCGGCAGTGCGGCCGCCGCCGCGGCCGGCGTCGGGTGGGCCGCGAGCCACTTTGCGAGCAGCAGAGACCCCTCCCACAGCGCGCCGCCCGTCGCCGCGGTGGCGCCCGTCTCCTCGCGCCCCCCTATGAGCAGGCCCCGACACGCTTCCGAGAAGGCTCCTCGCCGCGCCGCCCGCCTCCTCGCCTCCGCGCCCTTGGCGCGGCCGCCGCCCAGCATGTGGGTGAGGAGAATGGGGGGGCCGGCCAGCGGCAGCTCGAGCCGCTGCTCGCGCGGCCTGGAGGCGGCCTCCTCGAGGGCGGCACAGTGGACGCCGGACTTGCGCATCGCGTACAGCAGCTTGGACGTCTCCTGAGCGTTTAGGGTTAGGGTTAGGGTTAGGGTTAGGGTTAGGGCTGGGGTTAGGGTTAGGGTTTGGGTTGGGATAGACAGCAGCTTGGAGGTCTCCTGAGCGTTGAAGCTGTCGAGCGTCGCCGCCGCGCGGGCCGCGATGGCGAGCATGGTCGGCCGGTCGAAGAGGCCGAGGGTGAGGAGGGACCTGTTCATGAGTGGAGGAGGAGTCCTCCACCAGAATGGGTGGCTTGGCCGAAGAGAGGAGCGGGAGCGAGGACCAGGCGGCGTTGGAGAGGTCGCGCGCGTTGAAGGCCGCGGCGTCGCTCGCGATAGCGCCTCCCGCCATCCCGCAGAGCGACACCACGGACGGCTCTGTCGCGACGGACCCGCGGGCCAGCCTGCGGCGGCTCGACAGCGTGGGTCAGGGCAGAGGTGAGGGTCAGGGTGGTGGAGTCGGAGCGCCAAGCCTGCAGCCGCTTGACAGCTTGGCGACGCCCCAGAGCACGTTGGCGAGGTGGCGCGGCGTGCAACGCTTCGTTCCGAGCGCCACCGCCGCCGCGGCGATCGCCGACGCCAGCTTGGCTCCCCAGCGCGGCAAGCCGAGCCGCGCGTACGCGCTGGCGAGGCTGTCGAGGTCCTGGGCGTTGAAGGCGGCCATGCGGCGGCGCGCGGCACGCGCGAGTCGCTTGAGCGCGCGCAAGCCGACGCTGCGGCGGCCGTCCTCCGGACTCGCAGCGCCGAGCTTGACGAGGGAGAGGGCGACCGTCGCGATTGCCTGCGGCTCGAGCCCGGAGATGCCGCCGAGATGCGCCGAGATGCGCCGAGATGCCGCCGAGATGCGCCGAGATGCGCCGAGACTCGCCTGCGGCTCAAGCTCCGACGCGCGGGCGCACGTGGCCTCGGCGAGCGCAGCTGTCGCGCCGCCGTGCTCGAGCCTGCGGTGTGAGTGTACAGATCTGGACTCCGCCTCGTGATGGGGAGAGAGCTGGACTCCGCATCTGGGCCTCGTGATATGGGGAGATATGGGGAGATATGGAGATGTGCTCCGCATCTCGGCGCTCGGGCCGTGCAAAGGCCCACGCGAGCATGCCGATCTCCTGCGCGTTGAAGCTGCCCCCCAGAAGGGGCGCGCTCGCGGCCGCGATGCGGTCGAAGAGCGCCGGCTGCGGCTGCGACGCCGTCGCAAACGCCCACGCCAGGTTGGCGAGGTGCCGAGGCTCACACCGCGGCTTAGCGCACGCGTCAGCGGCTGCTCTCGCGATCGCATCGAAGAGTCCGCGCGCAGCCGGCGCGTCCGCGCCCATGGCCTGTGCGGCGCCGTGCGCGATGTTGGCGAGGATGTCTGGACGACGGCAGACGTGCGCCTCCAGCTGGGACTGGGTGGCCGCCGCCAGCCCCGCCAGGCTGTCGCCCATCTCGCCAGAGGCGGTCTGCCATTTGAGGTGGCGCCCGAGCTTGTTCCATAGATTCCCGAGGTGCATCGCGTCCATCCGCTCGCCGTGCTGTGCGTGCAGCTGCAGCAGGGCGCGCGCCGACTGCGCCTTTGAGATCCAAGCGTTGAGGAGCGGCGGCTCGGGCCAAGACGCTCCGCCGCTCTGTCTCCGCACAGGAGCGGGCATGCGATTGGCCCAGCGATTTAAGAGCGCAGAGGACCGCGCGAGTAGCGCGAAGAGCAGCGCAGAGCGGCGCGAAGATCACGAGAGCGCCTTGCGCGTCACGATGGTGGGTGGTTCCACAGCCTGACCGCGAGGCATGAAGACTGCAGCGAGAATCGGCGAGACTGCGAAGAGAGATAGGAAGAGGCAGACGCCCGAGGGTGGGCGACGGCTAGCAACACACTCCTCTCCTTAAAATCCCTGTGGCGGCGTGCCCGCTCCCGTGCTTTCTTTCTTTCTTTCTTTCCTTCACGGAGGACCGATCGTGCCAAAGGCGTGCCGCCGCTGCGCGCGGCCAGAGGCGCCGCCGCGCCCACACCCCCGCCCGGGGGAGCGAGGGGGTGGCGGGTGCGGCCGCTGCGGCGTGCGGGATTGCGGGGCCGATCGTAACACGGACGCGGACCGATGGAGGCCGGGCCGCCCGCGGGGTGGCCTAGGGGTGGCGTCTCGCGCGGGGGTGGTCCGCCGTCATTAGCTTCGCCGACGAGCCCAACGACGAAAACGTCCGCATCAGAATCGCATCTACGCACATCACACAGACACTCCACGCAATACACCACACGACACGGCAGGCCCTCCAAGACAGCACGGACAGCGTTCGCAGATAGGACCAGAGGCGGGCCCAGGAAGCTTACTGTACCTCCAACCGTCGTCGGAGCATCGCGCTCCCGCACCTCAGCGCACGTACTCCCACCCACTCCAAACCTCGGATCCGAGCCCAACTTGATGGGCTCGGAGGAGCTCTACTGCGGCACCCGCATCACCACACCGGGCAGCGGCCATTGGCAGCGGGCGTCAGGGAAGGGGAGGCCGTGGGCCGCTGCCGGCGGCGGCACGCCGGCGAGTTGGTAGGCAGTATACATGTCGATCGACGGCTTGTACATGCTCTCGAAGGCGCCGCCGAACCGCGCCGCCGGAACCGTCGTGGCCAGCAAGGCGGGCAGAGGTGGTGGCGCTGGCACCGGCGTAGACGGCACAAACGCAGCCGCGTTGTGGCAGACACGCTGAATGCACGCCTTCTTTCGCACTCCTGCGCCGCCGTATTTGGGCTTGTCGAGACACTCCTACAGCGCGAGCCGCACGCGTGAGCTCCGGGCTCGGGGCGGCACTGGCCCCGGGGGGGGAGGCTAGCTCCTTGCACATGCCGCAGTCGGGCGCACGGCACGCCTCGCAGGCGCCACAGCGGTTGCTGCGGCCGCTGTTCCGATTGACGAGGCTGCGCGCCGCCGCCGCCAGAGGCGCCTCGGCGCACGGCGCCGCCTCGGGCTCCGCCACCGGCTCCTCCTCAAGCTGCGCGACGCCCTCCAACCTCTCGGCGTCGGCAAGCCTCGCCGTCTCATCAGACTCCTCACTCTCCGATTCGATGGTGGCGTCGGGGCCTCCGTGGCGCAGCGCGTCCTGTCGCTGCCAGAAGAGCTCCCACTCGCGGTCATTCATCAGCCGGCCTGCCGCCATCTGACAGCGGAGGTCGGCAGGGGTCGGAGGCGCCAAATAGACGACGGCGACGAGGTCGAGACAGGACAGCGGCGATGCCGAATAGCAGGTTTTCGCGCGACGGGCGATGCATCGGAAAACCCGAAACGCCGATGGCGAGTTCGATTATTAGTTTTACATGCACGGGGTGGGTGCTGAATGCGGGTGGGTGGCCTGGAGGCGAGGTGGAGCCTGTGGAGGGTGGAGAGGGTGGTTTGGTGGGTGGTTGGTGACTCCACACCTGGAGACCTGTGTTCTCACTCAGCCTGTTGAGTGTTGTCGAGCGTCAGGTTCGTTGTTAGCAGATCAAGGCACAGAGGAGCTCACACAAAGCACAGCGGGAGGAAAGTGATATACTGATCTCTCAAGGCCCATCTACAGCAGCGGCGAAGTGAGCGTGTTTGTGGTGTTGGTGTGGCGTCTGAGCTTGGATCTGTGACTAAAGCCGGTTACCACTGATGGATCCCCACCCGAATAACACACAGTGAGCGCCCCAGCGCTTCACTACGCCCTCCGCGCGAAATCGCTAGTGGTGCTTTGTGGCAGCACATTGTGCTTTGTGGCAGCACGGGTGCGGTCGGTGCCCGTGACTCAGCAACTACCTTACTAGTCTCCCAACCTTTTTCACCGGGGTACCCACCGCAGGAGGGTTGGCATTTTCAACCCACGATCTCTAGGGGGTGATCTCTAGGGGGTGGGGGAGCGTGAAATTGAATTCTTTAGCTGTGTCGGAAGAATTCTTTTCCCCCCAGGCGCCGTTGCTCTGCGAGTTGGAGAGACACGGCCCAGGCGCGGCCGCCGAGCGCGGCCGTGTCTCCAATTCTCGCCGCGCGCGCGGCAGGACTCGTCGCTCCTCGCCTCGCACGCACACGCATACCCACGCTACGCACCAGACATCATGCCCGACAAAATCGGCAACAGCCGCGCAGGGATGGCTCGTCAGCCTCGTCAGGGCCTAGATGACTCGCCCGCCGAAGGAGGAGGTGGCACGGCGCCGCCAGCGTATGACTGGACGACGGGAGAGAAAGTTGCTCGCGGTGCTGCGGAGTTTGCGGCAGGAGTTGCAGGCGTTGGTGTTGCTGCGCCGCGGCCACCGACGGCAGCGGAAATGGCTCGCGACGCAGGGCTGTTTCCACCGCGAACGACGGCAATCGGCTCGACCCCCGAAGGGGAGCAGAACCCTCTCTGGTCAGCGGAGGAGTTCAATGGCAAGTGGTTCATCTGCTGGCCGATTGCCTGCGCTTCGGTCAACCAGACCAACGTTGGCGAGGATGGCATTAAGATGCAGGCCATGTGTTGTCTCTGTTACCCGGCCACGACCGAGTTTACCCGCATGGGCAACACCAACCGCTTTGGGGCTACAAGCTACACAACCGACGACGACGGAAGCTCCTCACGAAGCGAAGACGTGCTGAACTTCACCTCGACGACTTCGCTCAAACACGAGGGAGGGGGGATCCCGGGGGTCGGGTGGAAGAGTAAAGAGTTAGTAGTGCATGTGGACGGCAATTCGGGCGTTGGCTGACGCAGCACATGCGCGTGCTGTCTGAGGTGAGGTGGACCGGGTGAGTGTTTAGGTGTGTTGTGTCCAGTGTTCGTTCGTCCTTGTCCGCTGTCCCGTTGTTGTCAATGCCAGATACGTACTATTTTCTATTTGAGAGGCCTTCGTTGTTAATAGTACAAACCCAATGGTCCCTCGCTAGCGGTCCTTCGTTGCAGTCACGCACACGCCACGCCGCACCGCGCGCCCGCCCACTGCCCCGCCCAGGCGGGAAAGAGATCAGGAGATGGGGACAGCGAAGGAAGGAGGAGCCACGAACACGACACTGGGAGGGTTCAGTTGTGCGCCACGCTGCCCGGCGTCTCTCACTTTCCGGGACAGCCCCGCCCTTTCGAGGCAGGAAAGTGACGGCTACCCCGTACGCCCTGTTGCTTCTACCCCGACGCCGACCGCCCATCCCCCCTCCTCGTTCCCCCCTCGAATTCTCCGGACCCCGACAAGCCGCCCGCCGTTGGGCCTCTGCCCCGCACGCCCCCGCCCCTTCTGCCCCTCGCTCACACCCCGGCCCGACACGCACATACAAGACAAACCCGGCGTCCTGCTCTCAAAAGAAAAAAAATGGGGAGGAGGGGAGACCACACGCACCCCCGCGCGCCGCTATGTGTCGCCAGGAGGCTGACACTTCACAGGCAGAGATTTGCTCAATGCGGCGGCAACAGCCAACACGATCGCGCCGGACTGTACAGGCGACTGTCTCGGCGAGCGCGGCGGTACTGCGGCGCTCGCGCGCCTCGTGGCAATGTACGGTGTTCGGGTAGCTGATGGATGTATATCCTCACGCGGCGCCATGCGCAACGCAGCAGACCTTCTTGTGCGCCTTCCAATCGGCCTTTTGGCACTCTTTCGAGCAGTACGACACCGCGAGGCATCGCGCGCACTCGGACAGCTTGGCCGGGTTGCCGTACGGGCGGTTGTGCGGACACGAAGGGTTGTCACAGTACGTGGCTTGGCGCGACACGAGCTGGCCACCGTTCGCGCCAGTGCGCGTGCGGCTCGGACGCGCGCCCAAGGCTCGGAACATCGGCTCGCCCAGCTGCCGCGAAAAGGCGTCGTAGAACCCGGTGGGCTCCCAGAGACCTGTCAGATCATTGAACGAGGTTCTCGGCGAAGCTCGCGCGCCGAGCATGCGCGAGACTTGATCTACACAGAAAGGCGCGTCAGGCAACGGCTCGCCTTGCGTCGTGCGGAAGCTGTGCGACCAGGGCACAATCTCGCCCTCGAGCATGGCCACGATGCACGGCGTGCAAAAGAGGCGGCAATGGAAGCGCATAGCCATGGCGGATGGGCTGCCGCCGGTCGCGTCGCGCACGTCGGCGTCGCGAGGGGGTCGGTGCTGAATGAGGAGTTGGTACGCGAGTACTTTCGTCTCGTTAGATGGCCGCGCGAACTTCTGGCATACGGGGCACTGCAGTGACGAACGGAAGTCGGGCCACGACGCGTTGGCCTTGCCGCCGTGCTTGCGCGAGGTGTGATCCCCGGCGGAGTCCCCGTGCTTGAGAATGGCGACGTCCTCGGCGCTTACGAAGCAACCACCGCCCACGACGAAGGGAGTGAGCATGACCTCCAGGTGCCGCTGCTTTGGCATCAGCAGGCAAATCATGCCACCTCCAAAGCGCACTGGAATACGAGTATCGCCTGTGACTGCCAACACGTCGCACGGCTCGATGTACATCGTCTCAGGCTTGTACCGCGATGCCGGCGGGATGGTGAGCGAGCACTGGGCCCGTTTCATGCCCTCTGTCTCCAGCGTCCACTGCTTGAAAGCGCAACTCGCTTTGGTTTGCTGCTCGTCATTCTCCAAACCTCGGTTCCGCTCAATCTTCACCTGTTCCATCGCAGCGGCGAGTAGCTCGTCATCGGACGGCGACACATACGATGCAGCGCTTTGCTTTTTGCGGCCCATGCCCGCTTCCTGGCAGCCACCCTCGTGCAAGCAGCCGCTCGCTCGTCCACTCAGCTCGTGTCCGCGGTGGGTTTGCGGTGGCGCGCCCGGGCTCTGCCGCGCTCGGCTGGGTGCCCTCCCTAGCTTGGCTGGGGACGGCGTCTGTTCACGCCTGCATGTGAGCAGGAGTGTCTCGAAAAACCGCACCTTCGCGGGGTGGGAAGGGCGGCGGCGGCGCCCAAGGGCGGCGGCGGGCGCGGCGCCTTGTCGGGCGGGAAGGGCGATAGCGGCGCCTTCCTGGGAGGGAAGGTTGGTCTCGACCTCTCCCTGTCCCAGCCTGCCATACGCTCCCGTTTGCAGCGACTCGTCGCATTCGATTCCCATGCCCCAGCTCCAAAGGGCGCCGTCGGCGGCTAGGGCGAGGCTATGATCTTGTCCAGCCGACACGGCGACGATGCGCCGCCCAGCCAGGGTCTCGATCTTCTTGGGCTTTTGGTGGGTTGTATAGTCGCCGTGGCCCAACCCCAAGCAGTTGCCGCCATCCTCAGGGCCGGCATCCCAGTCCTGCTGTCCGCGTCCGCAGCTCCACGCAACGCCATCGGCGGTAATGGTCAGATCCATCTACTGACTTGTCTACCGGCTGGAGCCGAGCAGGAGGGCCCGGGGCGCACAACCCCTTGCGCCTTGGTCAACTCACCCCCTCCTTGGCCAAAGTACAGGGGTTTCGATCCGGGCCACCGCAAATTTTGATCAGCAAATTTCGAGGGGCGGCCGCAAATTTTGAGGTAGATTTTGATTGTCAAAATGTGTCCGTCTTGGCACAGGATAGAGCATATAGGCGGCGAACACCCAGGTGCGCAGGGACATCGCGACTCTGCCCGCTCGCTCGACCCTTTTGCCGCGAGAGGGCGCCGGCCGCGTGTAAGAGGTGGCTGGCGCCCTGAGGCGGCAATTGGTGGCGTGGGGAGTGCGGAACGCTACTGGCGGCGTGTCAGGACCTCTCTCGGTTGCGTGTGCCGCCCATCGGCACGCGGGTGCGCAGACATCGCGCGACTCTGCCCGCTCGCTCGACCCTTTTGCCGCGAGAGGGCGCCGGCCGCGTGTAATCGTGTAAGGAGGTGGCTGGCGCCCTGAGGCGGCAATTGGTGGCGTGGGGAGTGCGGAGAACGCTACTGGCGGCGTGACAGGGCCTCTCTCGGTTGCGTGTGCCGCCCATCTCGACCGCCCATCGGCACGCGGGTGCGCAGACATCGCGACTCTGCCCGCTCGTCGCTCGACCCTTTTGCCGCGAGAGGGCGCCGGCCGCGTGTAAGAAGTGGCTGGCGGCCTGGCGCCCTGAGGCGGCATTTGGTGGGGTCAGCGTGCGGTGCTGAGTCTTACTCGTCGGCGCTGGGGCCAGATCCCAGCGCAGAACTCTGCAACGCTGGCATACAAACACAAGAAGACTAACCCTAACCCTAACCCTAACCCTAACCCTAACCCTAGGTCAGCGTGTGGGGCTGAGTCTTAGTCGTCGGCGCTGTGGGGCCAGATCCCAGCGCAGAACCCTGCAACGCTGGCATATACAGACACAACCAGACAACCCTGACCCTCCCTAACCCTAACCCTAACCCTAACCCTAACACCCTCTAACCCTAATAACCCTTAACCTAACCCACCCCCCAACTCCACACCGCAAATTTGAAAGATCTTGATGAAAATCAGGCCCGACTGCAAATTTCTTCAAAATTTTCGCAGGCGCTCCGCGCCTGCAGATTTTGAAATAAATTCGACAAAATTGGTACCTTCCTGGCCCAACCCCCTCCACACCCCGTAGGCGGCCTAGGCGGCCCAGGCGGGGAGCGAGTCTCGCGTCACGGCGTCACGTCGAGTCATCTCATGTGCGACGTTTGAGAGAGGAAACACGAAAAAAGTTCCGTCACTCGCGGCGCTCGTGTCCCCCTCTCCTGCTCCCTGTGCACCTTTCATCTCACACACCTGTCCACATGCTGCCTCAGAAGCCACGACCGTCACGACTGCGCACTCGTGTGGGCTCATGCCCCCTGCAAGCTGCGAACGGGCGGCGGCAGACCCTGCGGCGTTGGTGGCAAACCGGAGGCGGTGGCAGACCCCACGAGGCCCTGTGGCGGCGGCGGCATCCCCCGCGGCGGCGGCGGCAGAGGGCGGCCGCCGGAGGCGAGCGGCGGGGGAAGGCTCGCCGGCGCAAAAGGAGGGGCGGCGTGTCCGGGGGGGGCGTTGACGTGCGCCGCGCGGCGTGCGTACCGTGCGTCGGCATTGCGCTCGGGCCCGCGGTTGCGCGGGAGGTCGAGCCACGCGAGCGGCATCCCGTGCTCGAGGCTGTCGTCAAACACGCGTGGGTCCGCCCGCACGGGCAGCGGCGGCCGCGCGCGCGCGAGCGCGTCGCGCCGGTTCTGCCGCCCATCCTCGGAGAGCCACGCGGCGGCCGCCTCCGCCTCGGACAGCGCGGGCGGCAGCGTGCGCTGCGCGCGCGAGAAGGCGTCGCGCGTGTTGCGCCTCTGCACCTCAGCCTGCCACTCAGCCCAGCCGTCCAGCCGCGGCTCAGCCGGCGGGCTGCTGCTGCCGCCGCCGCCGGCAGGGGAGGAGGAGGCGGGGCGGGCGGGCGGCCGGGGCGGCTGAGGCTGAGCGCGAGGAGGGGCGGAGAGCGGCGGGCCGCGCGCCGCGGGGCTGGGCTGCTGCGGGCGCGGGGGAGGCCCTTGGCGCGGAGGCGGGGCGGTCGGCACGACGGAGCCCCGCGGCACCGCCGGCGCCGCGTCCCGCGTCCTCTCCCCCACCGCCGGCGCCGCGTCCCGCGTCCTCTCCCCCGGCGGCACAAAGGCGCCGCTGTGCGTGACGACCGGCCGCTCCTCGCTGACACAGGGTGCGCCGCCGAAGTTGTGGCCGAGGCGGAGGGGCGGGCGGGCGCCGGAGCGGACGACGCCGCACACCACCGCCACGTCGTCCACCTTGCCCCCCTTGTGGCTCCGCCCCTCCTCCTGCGCCGCCTCGCTGAAGGGGGTCTTGAGGTCGCGCATGCCGCCAATCGCCTTTGCCTGCTCGGCAATGTTTTGCGCGAGCGCGTCGGCGGCGGCCTGAGCGGCGAGGGGGTCGGGATCGCGCAGCGCGTCGAGCCGCTCCGCCACGAGGAACTGCAGCGCGTCTTCGAACAGGTTGTCGAACACGCCGTCGCTCGCCGCCAGGACGATGTCTCCCTCGCGCACGGCCGTGCTCACCTCGTCAACCTCCTTGCCGACGGCGTCAAAGGTGCGGGCGCGGGTCTGGTACGGCCAGTTCCAGCCGTGGGTCTGCTCCTGCGTGCGGAGAACTGCACGCCGGGGAGGGCGCGCAAGGTCGGCGACTCGGAGCGGGAGGCCGCTCGGGAGGGGCGAGGCGTGAGGGGCGGGAAGGGCGGGGGCGCGCACCGACGCGAGGCCAGAGCTGCTTGGCGTCGGTGCCCGAGACCTCGCGCATCGCCGGGCGGAGGACCATCGCGCCCGAGTCGCCCAGGTTGAGGAGGCGCAGCGTGCTCGTGCCCTCCTCGAGCTGGCCCAGCACGAGGGTGCTGCTCCCTCCGCCGCCGCTGAGCGGGCACTCGGACGCGAGCCTCAGCGCGTCGGGGAGGGCGTCCGCCACGCCGCAGGCGGCTGCCTGGTGGCACCGCTCGAGCATCTCGCGCGAGAAGGCGCCCGGGTCGACCCCGTTCTTTGCACTCCCTCCCACGCCGTCGGCCACGCCGAAGAGGCAGCGCTTGTCGTCAAAGAGGAAGGCGTCCTCGCCGCCCTTGTCCGCCTTTGCCGGGTGGGGGAGGACGGAGCCGCCGAGGACGACGTGGAGGCGGCCCGAATGCAGGGCCGGCGCGCTGCACACGGCGAGCAGCATCGGTGGCTGGTTTCGGAGGAGCTTGCAGGCGCTTGTGGAGGCTGATCGACGCTTTCAGATCTGAGGCTCGGGGGGGCTCTTTCCTTTGATTTCAGAAGCAATTTCTAATTCGTTGAATTCTTCTTTTTTGCTCGCCGAGCTTCGATCGCTTCGACCATGCTCTGCTGTTTCTCGAGCGCGCCGGCCGCCGTGCTCCTCGCCCCATACGACAGGAGTGTGGTGCTGTCGCCGCACGCGCTCACCCAGAGCGGCGGGGGCGGCTGGGCGCCCGCCCGGTTCGGCTTCTCGGGCGTCTGGGTCGGAGAGGCGTAGTCGGTTGTCGAGGTTTTGCGCAGATCCTCAATTTTCTTTGTTTTTATCCCCCGACGGGCACTTACTGCTGGCGCGAAGCGCGGAAAGAGAAGTAGAAGTGGACGAGGTCGCATTCATGTCGAAGCGCACCGCCACTGGCTCCACCTCGCGGGAACTTCGCTTGCGCGGTGGAGACGTCGTTCGCATCGGAGACAAAGATGTGGATCTTTACAGCACGAGGCTCTGTATCAAGCTCCGCGTGCTGCCTGGGAAGCTGCCCGAGGCGATTGGCAAGCTGGTCGCGCTGCAGAGGCTCTACGCGACCAACAACCAGCTCGGTGCGCTGCCCGAGGCGATCGGCAAGCTGGTCGCGCTGCGGCAACTCCAAGTGCAAAACAACCAGCTCGGCGCGCTGCCCGAGGCGCATCGGCGACGTCCCGGCGAGCTCATGTCCCCCCAAAAGGTCGCACCGGCCCGTGGCTCCGCCGTCGGCTCCGCCGCGAGCGGCGACGGTGAGGCCGCTGGGGCTCGCCTATACCGGCTAGTGTGGAGCTCTCAGTGTGGTTGCGTGTTGTACTAGTGATGCTGCACTAGGCGGCCTGTTTTTAGCAAAAAGCAGATACCACATCGCGTGTGGTCGTCGAAAGGCCGCATGTGAGCCTCTGCTGCTCCCGGGGGGGGGGGGGGGGGGTCTGCAGACCACCCGGCCGAACTTCAGAGTCGCGGTGCTCCTCAAATACCGCTCAAACGCCCACGACGTTGTGCGGGAGGCGGGGACATATGCTGATGATCCTGGCCCGATTGGTTCGCTCAGAAAGCTTCTGGGCGGTCGTTAAGGTTCGCTCCCCGCACACCGGCCCGGAAGTATGTTACATCATAGTCGGCTACTTCCCGCTGCTGCGCGAGGGCGGCTGGCGCGGCAAGCAGCGCCACTCCGGCCGCGCGCGGGACACGTCCGGGACACGTCCGGGGCGCGTCACCACAGGCGCGACGACAAGCAGCGCCACTCGGGCCGCATCGGGCAGGGCGGGTGGTGCGAGGGCGTGTTTGTGTACCAGAGCCTCAGCGGGCGCGGCTCGAGCATCTCCTTCGAAGGGTCGATCGACTTTGTGCCCGGCTCGCTCGAGGCGCCCACCGGCGAGGAGTTCGTTCGCCGTCGCCGTGCCGCGTTTCCCCCTCCTCGTCGGCGCGGACGAGTACCTCTTCTGAGGGGTGCGCCTCTTCTGAGGCGCCGCGCCTCTCCGTCGGGGCTGGTCTCGGGTCATCTCGGATGATCTCGGGGCATCTCGGAGTCGGACGCGCGCCGCGCCTGAAGCCGGCCGAGGTAGGAGGGTAGGGAGGGGGCACGGATGGGGGGAGGGGGCTTTAGAGCGGGCTTTGCCGCGCGGCCGGGAGGCACGCTGCCGCGCCCTTGGGCTTAGTTTGAGCCTGCGGCGACCCTAGAGGCATGGAGATTGCGGTGGGGTGCGAGAGTTTTTTCCGCGCGCGGGCACGACCGAGGTGCCACTGCAACGTGCGTATCAGTAAAAGACAGAAAGAAGAATTTTACAAAAAGCCTCTCGCACACGCACGATTCACAGCCTTGTTATTGAGAAGAAATTCACACGACAGACAAGGCGCTCGACGTCTTCCTTAGAAGCCGTGAAAAAAGAAACAACTCGTGTTGCGCCTGATTGCATTTCGTTGCATTCTGCAGTCGATGGCGTCCCCGATCAGCAGCGCCACCCGCACGGCGAGCAGCAAGGACGCGTCGCTCGCGGGCGACGACGACGCCAAGCTCGTCCCGCCCTCGCGCTGGACGTTCATCAACACGAAGACCGAGGTGAGTCCCCGCCCCTCCCTCGTCCCGCCCCTCCTCCCTCGACACCGTCGAGAGCTTCAGCCTTGTGCCTTTTGTGGCTGCGCCGCACCTCTCCCTCCCCCTCCGGCCACCCGCCCCGAGCGACGCCGCCCACCGCCGACCGCCGCCGCGCCCCCCCTCCCTCCTCCCGGCCGCCGCCGCCGCCGCTCACGCCCGCCCCCGCGCGCCCCAGGCGCAGCTCGACGAGGCCAAGAACGAGAAGAACAAGGCGCCGACCAAGGCGAAGAAGAAGGACTGCGCCGCCGGCGTCGCCAACGAGGCTCGCCCCCACATCCGCCCCGCCTGCCTTCCTGCGCTGCCATCGGCCAGCCTATGCCGTGCGCGGCTGCATCGCACCTCACTCTCCAGCCGCCCCGTCCCCCGCCGTGGCCGCCGCCCGTAGCTGCCGCCCTCGTCTCCACGCCCTCGCCACGCCACCGCCCTCGCCGCCGGCCCACCACACCGCCGCCGCCACCGTCATGCGGTCTCCCGCCTCCCATCCTCCCCACCGCCGGCACTGCACCTCCCCATCCCCGCCCTCCCCGCGCCGCTCTCACCGCCGCCCATGATCCTCCCCGTCGCCCCCCGTCCGCCTCCCGCGTCATTGTTTTTTCTCTCCCCTTCTCTTCCTTCTCCTCTTTTTTTTCTCTTTTTTCCCTTCCTTTCCCCCCTTTTCCCTTTTCTTTCCCTCTTT